CCTGGGCAATATGCTCTAGAGGTCCCTGCTTGATCAGGGGGGTTGGACTAGATGATCTCCAGAGGTCCCTTCCAACCTTGGCCATTCTGTGATTCTGTGATTTAACCTCAGGTACTATATAGTTGTCCTTTGCCTACAGTTGTCAGTCTTAAAACAATTCCTACCTTATCAAAGGCCCATTTATCATGGGAATGTTCGGCATACTTGCTTACAATATACTCCAACTTTTCAGGAAGCACAAGACTGTAAACAAAAGAGAATATAGTCTTTCAATCATAATTTACTACAGTCCGATCTACAAACAAAATGCCAGTATAATATAGCATTAATCAAAATGCTTCATCTCCAGATGAAAGTCAGATATTTTGCCTCTGTAATTACATTTACATTTAGAAGAAATAACACAAAACAAAGCAGAGCTCTAATGACATTTACTGAGAACCTTAAAATATATAATAGGGGCACTTTTTAACAACTGAAATTACAGGACAGGAAATAAGGCTGCTTTACCGTGACACATGAGTATTTATCTTGGTAGTTCTTAATGCAGGATAATACTAGCAGAGATGCTTCATGTTGCATAACTGTGAGTGGTGGGGAGGCAAGAGTTTAATATCAACAATCAGCCAGTGATCCTCAGTTTCTGGATATGAAACTGTTTATTTTTTACATGAGTTGCACAAGCGTTACTAGCAAATAATCTTACATGTTCTGCCTATTCTGCCATACCAGGTTGCTAGCAATCAGTTTTCAAAATTAAGTGAAGATTTATCAAAACCTAGCAACAGGCTAGCTGAATCACTTACCAGATTTTAATGACCTTGAACCATTTTTCATCACTTTAGCACCCTCGAAATAATCACAAAGTAACAAATATGTATTACCAATGCATATATCCCAAATATTTGAACTCACCGATCAGGTAATACCATACATAATAAAGACATAATTTACTACCATGCAGGTATAATGTGGGAATACTTAACATTGATACAGGACTTAGAGCACTAAGTTTTTTTTTATCTGGTAAACAGGGCATTTTGCAGTGCACTATCTGGCAGCAGGAAGGAAGATACTGCTTCTGGAAGGCATTAATATTATTAAAAAGTCACCAGCCAACTCTCCCTATAAAGTAGAAAAAAGCGTTAACAAGGAATAACATAAAAAATACTTAGAGAAGTCACTATGATATATATATATATGACTCACTTAGCTGTGCTGACAGGTTTGGGATCGAAATTTCCTTCTGGATCCACTGAAGTCTGCTTTTCCAAAGTTGATCGAATGCGTGTATCTAAATAATCAGGAGGCAAGGCACCAGCTATAGCACTTAGACAAGGCAAAGCCATTCGAAAGAGCTCTGGATCATACTTCTGCAGGAGAGATAGGAACTGGTTGGAAAGTCCAATAGAAAAACATGCAAAATGTTAGTGAAAACAAAGCAGCCATATGCAGAAGTATTAGAAGATGCAAAGGAACAACAAAGCACATGTAAAAACTAAGAATATAGCAAAATTATTGTTGTGTGATATCTACTTTTCTTGATATTAACTTGATATGGTTTGCAAGACTACTACTCAAATTAACATAAGAGTATGCTAACACTTGTACAAATATATACAAAACAGGTATAAGTCTGATTTTTGAGCCTAATCCAGTCCAAAAAATATTCACTCAGTAAGGTATTCCTCATATCAGAAAGGTAACTTTTCCGTAATCAAGAAAAAAGTGCACTTTGGAACAGTAATACAGGAATATGTTTCTCTCTAAGAATGCTGCATCATAGTTCTTGAGCCAGGCAATGACCAGCAAACTAACAAAATGCAAGTTCTGTTTGAAAGTAGACAACATAAATTTATTGTTTACAACAATAGCATATGCAAGTGTCTCTTAAAATTAATGCTATATTATGTCAGTAAGAAGTATTTTAAGAAGTGCAGCAGAGCAAAGATAGGATAAGAGAGAACATTAACTTTTGTTAGTGCGTTCAAGCAATCTGCCTCCTTACTAGAAGAAGGTATAAGGTTATACCAAGACAAAAATTTCACATTTCATTAGTTTGGAGGGATTCCTTCAAAATTCACCATTCAATCTTTCAATAGAATGTTACTTCACTGGAAGTATTCATTATCATACCTCCCATATTACGTGAAAGAATTGTCAAAATATATACTTTCTGCACTTGGCACCGCAGATTATGATAGTAATGCCTTTACAGACACCTCACATTGTAACGTAAATTACAGTCATTACCTTATGAGACAAGGAATCAAATATTCCCCAGAAAAGTTTTTCGGTTAAATGTAATTCTTCTTCTACTGCAATTCCGTAACTTCCCATTCCTGAAGGCAGGCAATAGTATTTCCAGCACTGCTCATAGTGATTTGTCAGAAGCTAGATTTTACAGAAAATAAAAATGTGTGTAAAACACTGGTACTTAATAACATAACCTACTGGTTAGTGAAAGTCAAAATGGCTAGCATTTATTTAAACATTTATATAAGTATTATTATTTACTTCTGTCTCGTTATTTCTAAGGGCCAATAAAAATTGTATTCTTTTTCCCGGTTTTTATTTTGGGATAACAGTAGTGCCTGAGCTTTGAAAGTGTAAAGCCTGTGCTATACATCGTGGCCGCTACTGTGAGATTCTCAATGACCACAATGAATAGGAAAATTATAAAATTTCAGTTTTGTCACCATTTGAGTACAGGTTAGCCCAAAGGATAAAAATACAGACAATGAAACAGAAAATATCGGTATGAAACCGGACATGATAGATTCTGGTAAAAAGTTTTACAAATTCAAATTGATTTTACTTCTGTCAATTGTAGCTTATGGCCTCAATATAATTCAAAACATTGCAAAACACAGCTACAGTATACTCTTCAAAATAGCAATGTCTGGTCATCTGTGGAAAAATCTAAGAAAGAACTATTGTACAGACAACCTGTAACATACCAGTTAAAGGGCTAGCGTATACAATTATTGGTGCACTTTCTGCACCAGTTCATATTTTTACCAGTTTCTTCTTTGGAACTCAAAACTCCTGTTCTTAGAAAAATTCAAAAATTTCACTCGGTATCAGACAAAATCTTGATATTTTAAATTTTTCTGCAATTTTGCTGAGGAATAAAAAACTCCCCCTACCCCAAGGGAACCAACAACAACAACAACAACACTCGTGCCTTAAAATTGATGCTGCCCCAGAATATGTTTGTGGATTTAGCAGCTGGGCTTTTTAGGACTACAGTATTTCAACTCTGCCATAAAATGACTAGTCAGTTGACCTAACATCTGGCCTGTTTATCCCAATAAGAACGTTGCTCAGGAGGCAAACTTAACAGGTAAATTCTAAATAACTATTTATTTTCTAACAATTATCATTCTCTATTTGCAGAACAGAAAGATGAATGAGACTTCAATTCAAGATTGTCCAAAATTTTCCCCTTAAATAAATTTTCCTCCTGGATAACACAAACTGAGTTTTGTTCCCTGTATCATATTCCCTGAATCACTTATTTTAAAAGTTATTGTTGGACTATGCATCCTAACAAGAGTTATTACAAATTATATAGCAGAGGAAGAAAGATCAAGATACTGCTAACATTTAATCTGCTTCTTTCAATCCTACTTCTGCTGAAGCAGTGGAAAAGTTAACGGTTCACTGAACACAATCACGTAACCAACTTACAATATACTGCTATCATAAGGAAATATCTCACAATGCCTTTAACCATTATATTCAAGTCTAAAAACTTTATAAAACCATAAAACTAGTTTCAATTTAGAAGTCATTTCATGTTACTTTACCCTGTTCTGTTCTGTTTTTAAAACATGACAATGACAGATTATTGTGGACTAAGTTTTGTGCTGAATAAGTATATATAAAGTACAGCAGTTACCTTGAGAGGCATTTTACAGTATTCATTGAGCAGGGGTACATCAAAAACCAGCCTTCTCAATAGCTGTTGTAGCATAGAGGGCCGTAAGTGGCTGTAAAAAAAAAAAAAATTCCTGTTAGTAACATTCATGCACTCCAGTGAAACGGAATATAAATTGAAATTAATTTGCCTACTGGAATCCAAATCACTCATTAAAATTATTCGGAAAAACACTATGTTACATGCACAGAAAAAGCAAGCTGTAGACTAAATAAACCCAGGTACATAAAAACAACAGAAAAGAAACTCTAGACCTTGATTAAATTTGAACTTAAGAAAACTTACTATGCTTCATCTATATATAGAAGGATGTAGCATGTAAGGATACTGAACATTTGGACTCTCTTATATGACCATACAGAATATATGATTGTGCCATAAGGATGGAGATAGGAAGGGTGCTGGATTTTTTTTTTTTTTTTTTTAATAATTCTTCCATGAGATTCAGGTATGCTGCAGGGGCAATCTAAGCTAAATAAACAGAATATTGTCCTAAAATAATGGTATCTGATATGAAACTAAGAAGCAGTAAAACACTTCTGATTGACACTGATTTAGGGAATGCATTATGATTTTTACTCTAAGAAATCTCAAATGGGAGACTGAACAAACTACCTAGCATTTCTTCTCTAGCTATTTAATTTCAATGATCTAGACCCTCCAAGTCAATGCAAAAAAACCTTTTATATCTCCCCCTCAGCCATCTCTTTTTCAGGCCGAAGTCTCCTGGTTTGCTAAGCTTTTCCAAGGTAGGGAAGCCATTCCTTACATTGATCATTCTTGTTGTGTTTGTCTTCATCTTTTCCAGTTCTACTATATCCCCTTTTCAGTATGTCGCCAGAGCTATACACAAACTGAAAATATACATTGCATTCCTTTTTTACAGTCTACTTGCACAGAGACGTAGCACAACTTAAGAGACACGGCCTCAACTTCATGCTTTTTGACTTCATATACTGCATGCAACGTTTGTTTTCAATTCTCAGCTTTACTCCTAAACACAGTCTTTCAAAACGGAGAGCTTTGGAAGCCCCTACCTCAAATGCCTTCCTCATTGTCAACAGAAACGCATAGCTCCCTTCTGTGGGTTGCTAACCTGGTCACTTAGAGATGACAAAGACCCGGAATTACAATTCTGCTGGCAAACCTACATTTCAATTCCGGACATGAACTTCTGTGCTCACATTCCAGTTCTAGGATTTTTGCAGGGGTGGTTTTAGGGTTTGTTTGGCCTTTTTTTTTTTTTTTTAACTAAGGTCAAGGTTCTTCAAATCACAGTCAAAAATACAGACAAATCAATCCCTTAAATCTCTAACAAACACTCACAGTCAAAATCAACAAAACACTTTCAGTAGTTAATGAGGTTTTGTTATTAAAATGATCAGAATTTATGCTGTATCATCAACAAGTTCTTAGCTATACAACAGCTTGCATAATGTAGCATCTGTAATGAAAAAAGAAAACTATTTTCTCTTAGGAGGAAAAGAAAACCTGTCATACACTGATTATTTACTGCATGTAAGAATAAAATACTCCTATTCTACATCATACACAAAAAAAAATTATTAAAATATGTATGCTTATTTCCATATACTGGACAAAAGAAATTAATTTGCACACAGGTATCACACTTACTGGCAAATAGCAAGCAGACATTCTTCAATAGTGTCTCTTTGTGCTTTTGTAAGGGATCGTCCCTTGGATAACCTATATATTGTGTGAAGCATGGAGTCAACCAGAGAGGCATGATGCTCCGTTCCAGAAAAGAGGGGAGCACATCTTTTGAGTAACGGAAACACAGCTGAGCATATATATCTATTTAGTGCCAGAGCTGCCTCGGTAGTACTTAGAGAAACCTGTATGAAGTAGTACATAATTGTTAGTACCACATGGAATAAAGATTACTAGGAATGAAATCTATAAAATATAATAATGAAATATTCCTGACGTCTCTTTAGTGGCTGAGTACTAGCATAATATCTCCAGCACTTGCAGGAGGACTACGACTATCTCGTTACAACTTAAGAAAATTCACATCATCCAGTTATCTCATAAAAACAGACTGCTTGCACCACTGCATTCTGAAGCAATAGCAGCAATAAAGAAAAGGGGTAACTTGTTCCTTTATATACATTAGCAAAAATCATAAAGCATTAGGCAGCAGTTTTCATCTAATTTCTTCATACCTACACGTTACGTGAATTTTAGGTGTAATTCAAAGAAGCACACAAAAGTAAAAGTAACCATTAAACCTACTACAGTAAATCCTACATACTTATTGCATACTTAATTACTGTACACCTGTCTTAAAAGTCTTAAAATTACATTATACCACTGCTTCATAAAGTTGTACTGAATATGATCAAACTTAGGCCCTATAACTAATAAAGATGTAATTTCACTATTATTTTTGTGTGTATAGTGAGGACTTTTCTTTTAATACTGTTTTGACTTAAAGTCCCATTTTTTACTCTTACAGAGCCGCTATACCCAACCACTGCACTCCATAGAAAAATGCTTACTGTATCCAGAGAAGCAGAGGCTCTTAAATCTGGTAAAAATCCAACTTCCAGTAAGTGAAGGAGGAAGCTTTGGTCCTTAATACCATAGACACGGTCCAAAAAGAGCACCATGGGTGCTTTATGATCAGGACAGAAATTTGCAGACATGTCTGGCTCATTCACTGTGCCATCTACACAAATATATACAGCAATTTTTAATAGTAAATAACTGACATAACACGAAATACCAAGACAATGAAAGACACCATAACTAGATTTCATGTGTAAAACTGCATGTTCACAACAAAGATATTCTTGTTCAGTTTTTTGTTCGCTGAAAAAAAAGTACAGTATTTATTACTTCAAAAACTCTATTATTTGCAATTTATTTAACAGAAATTAAGTCTTTCATTCTGAAATAACTAATCGTTCTTAAATTTTCAAAGCATTCTACTTGTTTTATTACCATTACAGAGAATGTTTACACAGTAAAATTAAATTAAGGGAAAATCTTACTGCAAATGTTAAGATACAGCATAACTGTGAAGTCTCAGAAGGTTTAGAATTCTAATGTTTGTCTCACATAAACTACGCTAGAAAGAACATGCAATCTAAGGGGAACATATGCTTTTTGATTTAGAGATGTCAATGAAGAATAGTACTGTATAGAAAGTCAATTCTAAATCTCTAACAGATCAGATATCAGTTCCCATTTAAAATAAATGAAGATGCTGCTTTGGCAAGAGAAGCAAACTTCGGAAGAAACTGGAATTACTAATATTTTATGCTTTAGAAAAACAATTTTTTTTCCAAATCAAGGCACACTATTCAAAAAGAAAGGAAGTAGACAGCTCATTCCATGCATAATAAAGATGAAATCCACTAGAATCAAGATCATTGCTACAGAATATAGAAAAGGTACTGAGATCTATACTATCTCTTTATACAGAGATGCTGAACAGTTACCGAAAAGTTTTACTCTTGGTTAATTTTTTGTAAGTAAAAAAGTGTGTTTCTAGTTTTAATCCAGTTCCAACAGTACAAGTCTTCAAATCTGCCCTCCTTTCCTCCTCAAATCACATGCAACAATTTGCATAATTGTAAATCTTCTCAGCAGAGAGGTGAAGGACTCTGGCCAAATACATCACAATCACATGTGACAGTACAATGCCTTACCTTACAGGAGGTCACCTTGACAACTCTGAATGCTAAGGCACAACAATAACAAAACTATACTCCCATCATTAAGCATTCTTATGCTTAGTGAAACCACCTGAGTTTTGAAATATTGCTTTAAATATAACCATAAGTAAGAATGAATGTTTAATTAGAAGTACTTACTCTAAGTCATGGCAAACATACAGAGCAAAGTCCTGCATTTACTTGAAATCCTACAGATACTTTATGTATACACACAAATAAAACTTCTATTTGCACAAAACAAGATTTTCATATAGAAGAGGCATTTTTTAAGCCAAGTTTTTAAGTGTAAAAGTCACTGAAGTAGCAGATTTCAAAGCTAAATATAAGTAGAGAACAATAACACAGAGTTTAGTTGGCTTTGTATCAGGCAGACCATCTCTAACTCTAAAGGTGGAATAGGCAATTCTTGTGGAACAGGAAGGACAACAGAAGGAGAGGAAGATGACAAAGTTATTTTACCCCAGAAGAAAATGACACTGGTAGTTTATAGCCTGTGGAACATGGAGAAGTTAATAGGAAAGATGGAGATCATATGCCATAAAAACTTTACCCTCTGGTGAGTTTATGCTTTAAACAAAATTCTAGTTTGAAGCATCATCCTGGGAATTATTTTGCAGAAATAAGTCCACCTTGGATAACCACACTGACTGCTTCTAGGAAAGACCTGACAATCAAATAACAAGCAAGAACACTATCATCAATACCTCTTTGGACTATAATATGGGGAACCCTCCGGGACAAGACAAACATATAAGAAGAAAACAAAGAAACAGGCCGCACTGTAATCAAAAAGAAATCAGGCTTCTGGGACTGAACATTAGAGGTCAGAGTGGAGTATTTTACCTAGCAATTGGAGAAGAGATAACAGGTGTGGAAGAGTACCTGCTTCAGATCAGCACAGTCCCAAAGGGGATGTGGCTGACTTTCAGTTCCTCTGAAAAGTCAGGAAGGAAATAAACAGTGTAGTTACAAGAAACAGGAAAGGCAAATAAGACCAATTAAAAGGCCATGGGCATTTGCAACACTAGTCAAGCAAGGACATACAGGAATCTGTACTGGGTCATCAGTGACCTGGAGAAGAAAGGGAACAATGAAGCTGCAAAGTCTGCATATAGTACTAAGCTCTTCTGTATGGTTATGTAGTTAACAAAACTGAATGAGTTCAAGGTAGTGACAGATGAGCTTCATGGCAGACAAATCTAAGATAATGCATAGATAGAAAAATAAGCCATGCCTACATGCTTATGCTGAGCTTGGTACTGACATTACAACTCAGGAAAGAGATCCTGAAGTAACTACTGAAATTCTGTGAAACAGAAGCTCAGTGTGTAGCAGCGACCAAATAAGCCGACAAGGTACTGGGCATCATCAGGAAGGGTATTCAGAACAAGACAGAGGACACTGTTTCGCTGCTATATAAAATATAAAGTTCAGACATGAAACAAACCATCGCGTGCCCACACCTTGAGTACAACCTGCTCGCATCTTGCATACCCTGCACAGCTCTGTGTTCCACGTCTCAGGACAACAGAATAGACTTAGAAAAGCTACACTGATGGGCAACTAAAACGATTCAGGCAACGGAGCAGTAACCTTACTAATGGGAGACTAAAAAAGCTGAAAGTATTCAATATGACAAAATAAGGGCTGAGAAAGGATACAACTGAGATTTAGAAAATCATTAAGGTAGTTGATAAGGTGAACAAAGAACTGCTCTTCACCAAATCCCACCACACTAGAATTTGAGGGTGCTCATTAAAACTAGTAGATCAGTTTAAAAGACACAGTACTTTTCTTACACAGTAAATAGCAAAGGTCTGGAATTTACTGCCACAGGAGTGGCTACAGACAGTATCACAAAGGGACTGGATAAATGCTCGGACAATAGGTCCTGAAACATTTACTAATAGGCAGGGAGGTACCCTCTAACATCTCTAAACAAATGAGTGTGGATGTTGTGGAAGTACAAAGGGGTAGACGTCAGTCTTACACGTTCTACCTACATAGATAACCTCTCCTACAGCTACTGCCTGAGACAGAGTACTGGGATAGATGGGCCTTTAATCTGATGCAGTAAGGTATTTCTTATGTTCTTACATTCTCTGCTCCACAGAAGCAAGTGCATTTTCTATCAAAGCAAGTCTAATTGATGCGTATCTAATTAAAATCTGAAGAATGGTTCTCTACTCATAGCCAATTCTGATAAAACTACTGTTTCTATTTTACATCTGAAAGCTTGCGTTCCAAAAACTTTTCAATAAAAAGACCAATTGGTCTGTTAAAAGTACTGAAGTTACCTTTGTTGACTGTTGACAGCTTTAGCGGTATACTTATAATCCCAACCAAGTCTTCAGTTGGCACTAGAGATCGAAGGATTGACCTGATTCGAATAGCTTCACCTTTTCCACTTTGAATAAGCTGTTAGAAAAAGTTTATCAATTAAGAGATTTAGTACTGAGTGACATCAGAAACATTTCCTCAAAATACTGATGTTAATATATTTTTTGTGTATTTGAAACACTGTACCGCTTGGAAAAAAAGTACACGCATTCAATTTATCACAGCACTCTATTAGAGCAGCTGATTTTCAGCTGATCCTACTTTTTCATCCGCACTAATTTTGCTATCATAGCAATACTTTCAGGATATTATAAACTCTCAATAAAACAAACAAAAAACCCCCCACATGGATAAGATTCCTAAGCACCAATCAGATAATGATGAAACTGAAAATTTCCCAACATTACTTATACAATCTACACTGCAAGGTTTTGAGCTTGCCTCTTTATACTATAAATAGATGCGAACGAGTCTGCATTACCTACACATTTTTCTATCATATTTATGCAGTGAAGATTTAAAAATGCATAAACTATAATTAGGTGACCAATTCTTTTTAACTTTTAGCAGAAATGAGGTATCCTTTCTCTATGTCTCTGAAAATCTCTTCCAGTAATTTTCTTAACTGGAAACTACGATTACTGAGTACCTAAAGCTAAGTACAGCCTTATAGATAGTAAAGTTAATAGCTTTGGTAGTAACATGTATGGGAAGCTGCACGATACGTAAATACTGCGTTTTCACCTGGGCAGGCACTACTGAAGAATTTTAAATATGGACAAACAAAAGTCACTCTAAGGAAAAGCAAGTCTTGCATGTGACTATTATAGGCACTGCAGCCAAAACAGTTATTTTATATCCTTTTCCATGTACACCATTAATACCACACTTCAACAGATGCACGAGAAAGATAAGCTCTGCATGACATTCTTAGGAAGACGATTTTTATGGCTTTCTACAAAACAGTAAGGGAACAACTTCAGAAAATTCATCAGACATGCAAAACGTGCAACACTAGTAGTTTGTTTCTACTTTGATTCCATGGTCATATAAAAATTTCCCAAATTTTACATAAATTACAAAGCAAACAAGAAAGCAAAAGTCAGTGATTCTATATAAACAGCATGCAGGGAATACATCTATCCAGATACAGCGAGAAAGGTAATACAGCCCACCTTCAGAAGGGAAGAAATCCTTGAACAGAGAACGGTTTAGACAGACATGTACAGTTTTGTTTACAAATCGCCTCCCGCCTTTTCTGAGCAAGTGACAGAATGAACTTACATGCATTTCTGGTGCACAGCGTCCAAGCAAATCTATGAGAGCCGAGTAAAACGACATGATAGCATTGCCCATGTGCACAATTTCCTCCTCCTCCTCTTCATCATCACTAAAAAGTAACCAATACCAGTGAGTATTTTTGTTGATATGCATCTATAGCTCATCTCTGGAGCTAGACCCATGTTCCAGAGACTATAAATCAGACATATTCATTTCCCCTGGATCCTGATTACAGGTTTTCTGCGTCCCTAATAAGCGCACAGTTGAACAGTAGTAACTGGCTGTTCATGCCAACCCTCTACCTTCCTCTTCTTTCACTTTATCATCCCCTTAGCTTCATTCCACAACTGTCGACGTCTTTGCTTTATCCTTCAGGCTTCTTCCCTTCAGTAACTCTTATTCTACTTCCTTTATTTTGCTCAGTGCTATACAAATGCCATACATATTTGGCATTCTATATTTGTACAGAGTCTTGTGCAACAGTGCCCATTTTGCACATACTTCAGGTATGATTGGACCTGCCAGCTGTTAAAACATTATTTGCCAAACAAGCATTCACATTTACTTACCCTTCTCTTTTATAAACCTGAGAGGGAAGGTCACGAGTAGGATTCTCTGAGATCCTGATAGCTTCCTGCATCGCTGCCAACAAACCATTTCCACCTTCTCCCCTAAGGTCTGGTCCAAAGCATTCTGGGCGTCGAATAAGTAGCTTGACAACAACACTTGCATTTTCCTCAACACTTTCACCTGAAGACCAAAAGAAACCTTAGCATTATACATAAAAGCTTCATGCTTTCTTCTGGAAGGTATCCTCAACTTCGGAGGAGGCTACATTTTCCAGAATACAGTACATTCTTATTTCTAAATTAAAAATATATTGTATTGGCAGCATTGAACGTGCTTTACCAAAAATATACCTACATTTAAAAAATGACAGTGTAGACTCATCTTGCCAAAGTTTTATTAAACTCAATCTAAAAAATTCACTTTAGAAGGTTAATTTGCCTTTTATGGCAAAGACTACTCTCTACTAGACTTAAAATAACATGGCGGTAGCTTTTGGAATGGCTCCTGCATAAAAGCAACTAGAAAACCAAAACATTTCATCTTGACAAGTAAGACCATCACTAGAAGAAATCAAATTTCCATTCTTGGACAATCTGTGCTAATCATGAGCCATAGTCTTTGATGGGCTGCTGTTTCAAATGTATTCATTCTTTCAGAAAATTGCATTCAGCAAAACAAAACAACTAACAATCCCGTACTGGTAATGAGAATAGTGCGTATTAAATTCTCTTCATCCACTAACACAATGTTATGGATAGAAAAATCATCTTAAGGAAACTGGATGCCAAGAAATTAAACTTACTGTTAACAAAAACTGCAAATCTTAAGAATGACAGGTAACGTTCACCCTCGATAGGATTCCATCCAATGTCTGGATACCCTTTAGCTAGCAATACTGGACAACTCTGCAGGCCACAACCCGCCAGGTAGGTAACAACCTACAATATATAAGCAATCATTGTATTAAACATTTGTTTTTTGCATTAGAATGTGAATGACATTTGTAAAAATACTACCAATGTATGAAACAAAATTAACACCAAGATTTTTTTTTTTAAATAATAAGGCTTTTTATATACCAGGTGTTTCATCTGAGAAACTACCAATATAGCTCAACATTGTATCCATCTTATTTTCTAGTTCTTGCTTTGGATGATAATGAAAAAGCTTAGCCCTTTTTATTTTTAAAGATACCTAATTATATGATGACACAACAATACAACAAAATAAAAAATCTTAATTTGGAATGTGAAAAGTAGAAGAATAAAAACTATGAATTCAGATCTTTTTTGTAGTAGATAAACAGTATTTAAAAATGCAATACTTCAAAATGACATTAATTGCCACAAATGCCTTAACTTTCTACAAAAGTAAAATTTATGTTGTATCAGAAGTCTAGCTAATGCAATTCCAATTAAACTGTCAAGATGAAAATGAATCCTACCACAAGCATGAATTACAGAAACATTGCAAGTCCATAACATCACAATTTTAGTAACTACCTAAAACATAAAAAAAATCATGAAAAGATCTAACATGAAACTTAACAGATCTACAAATAATTAAATTATTCAGAAGATTAAGTAATATCAGTGAACGCTTTTAAAAGTCTGTAGAGCCAGAAAGGTTAGAATTTTTGGTGAAACAAATTCCTAACCCATCATTTCTTATCAAGAAGAGCACGTATAAACAAGACGAATCTTTGAGAAAAGATGATGAATTTCATTAATTATAGTAAACTGAGAATTTCTGAAACATGAACAGAATAATTTCTCAATCACTTAAAAGAAAATATGCACCTAACTGCATAAACATATGCAATTTTGGATTTTATTTAAAATACAACCCTGACAACATATGAACAACATGATTTTAGTACTTAAATATATTTTAACATAAGGCCATTCATGAACCTGTAGAGAGATGTGTATTTTCACTTCTTGTAATGGGAGGGAGACAAGAATGGGTAGAAAAGGGGAGATATCTTATTCTGTTTAATCACCATATAGAAATTTCTCCATCCGTGAGATGATTTGTAGTCATTAGATAGTGCCCACAGATAAAAACTAGTTAAGAATCCAAGCAGAAGATTTATACTCCTGATGACAGAGTATATAAATTGCCTTCAAAATTGCCTTCAAAAGTCGAAATACAGGCTGATGCTGAGTAAATGTATTATTAAATTTAATATCTCCTGTCATGATGAAACAGACAAAATTAGCTAACGCACAAAAAGCATTCCCGTGCACTAACAACCTCTGATTCACTCGACTAGTACACTAGTTGTTCAAGATCTGCAGCGTATACATACAGATAGGCTTCAAAGACTGGCTTCAAAGCTGCTGATGTGGTGGGAAGACATGAAAAAAAGCTCTTCCAGACAAGAGTGATAATGCAGAAATCTCTCAGGTATGTGGAAAGATTGCAGGGAACACGCCTGAGCTTAAAAAAAATCTATGAGAATTTGTGATAAACATTTATGTAAATCTCTGTTTTGTAGAGACACAAATCATACGTATCATGGTTTTCCCTTTTAATAACTGATTAATCTTTGATCCTTCATTCTGGTGCCCAAGACAGTATTCAGAATAATTAGCTCTCACCTAACTGTAAAAAATATATTATCAATATTTTGGAGGTATGCAGAAACAAGTAATAAAAATTCACAACTCTTCATGTTTCAATGTGGAGAACAATTCTGTTCTTAAGGACAGATCCGATAATTCTGAGCATCTATTTCAACCTTCAAAATGCAGCCCACAGAACCTATCCATCAAGATTACTGATTACTTTCATCTTCCTTGAGATGATATAGTCAAAGAAAACTCTTTTCCAAGCATCCATTAGTGAACACTACTAGAAACAAGATACCAGATTATGATTTGACACAATATAGCAATTAAGTTCTAATATGTACTAAAACAGAGACTGAGAATGAAAGAAAACAGAAAGAGCAGATCTCTTCTCCATCTCTTTTCAGATTTTGTAACACTACCATCAAAACTAAAATTTTAATCTATTTACTTTACCACATTATGCCATCAGGCCATGGGACTAATATCTTTCTACTGTAATCTTCAATTTCACACACACAGTAAAAAGAAATCAAATTCACAACAGCAAAGACTCAGAAGTTAAATCGTCTGTGTCTTTAATTTACTTCAATACATGTATCAGTGTAGAGATTTTAATCACGTAGAGACCCCGTATCATTCTGCGAGTAGGATATGGATATATTACATTCAGTGAACTAATACCTATACAGTACTACTTTTTTCTTCTGATTCAGTACATAGATTAAGTTACTGAGTAACATCCACATGCTGCACTGGATAAAATTATTACCTTACCAAAATAAATACATTACATTATTATAGTCAAAATGACTGATATGTTTGGAAAGTCAAATTTAAGACACATACAGCCTGATTTTTCAGCATAAAATATTGTATATGATCCAGCTGATATCTGTTACTCTTTGGGCATTCAGCACTTGTTTAGGTATGGTTCCAAGTATTCAACGCTCGACAGGCCATAAATGAGGAACAGTTAATGGTCAGCAGTGAAACTCAGTTCAAGTGAATTGCCCAACACTACTTGAAAACTCTGTGGCAGAGGCTGGGATAGAATCCGTTCTTCACAGCAGAACTTTCCAATACACAAGACAGTCACTGATGGCATTCCAGTCATAAGTGGTGTACCCCAGGGGTTGATACTGGGGCCAATACTGCTTTAACATCTTTATTAATGATGGGATAGAGTGCATCAGCAGCAGCTGTGCAGATGATATAAAATTGGCAATTGTTCTCAATGCTGCTTTTACCTATACTTGTATATTCCTGTGCTCTCACATCCCTCCAGTTCATATTCCTGTCCTTGTCTTCTCCTTGCTATCTCCACCATCTGCTCATTTGTGTCCATTTCCCAGCTTTTGTCTTGCCGACAGCATACTGCAGTTATTATCCTACACCCCCTCAGGTTCTACTCCCAATATAGGGTTCCCTCTACTTCCCAGGGGGTTTCCCTGTGCTAAACCGTCATTTAGGTGCTAAACTATTCTCCTGTATTCTTCTTGGGCTAGCACATATCCCTTCTCTTTCCTACTTTCGTCCTCTGACTTTGCACCCACTCTCCATCCCTTATTCTGTTTCCCCTCCTGGGAAAGACAATTTTCATGTCATTTTACATATCCACTTACCCACTGCTTCTACCTCCTCCCACTCCTACTCCTACCTTCACGTTTCCCTTTTTCCACATTTCTCAGGCCACAAGATCTGCTTCCTTTCTTCACCTTAACTTGCTCCTCCCCCAACAATGTTTCTTGACAAGCCTTGCTTCTGTTTTATGCCTTTTTTCTTGTCCTTTCTACTTGGTATCGATAGTGAAAACATGCAGAAGACAGGAAAACTTCTTGCTCTCATTTGCTGTGATTCCCAGTAAGTGAAAAGCAACAGCAGGGAAAATACTCCTTAATCAATCTGACCCTGAGACAGCACATACCTAGAGCAACTATTTCCAAAGACGTAATATTTGAGAAACCCACGATAGGGAAACTTTCCTTAAATAAATCACATGCTTTGGTCTACCTTTTATGCTATCTTTTCCTTCTCCATCAAAACGTATATATTTACCCTAGACTGAGAAGTCAATTTTCAATGCACAGGAGCATTCATAGTGTCTTCTCACTCCTACGTTTAAAAAAAATGAGCCCCCTTCCAAGTACTATCCTGATTCTATTCCCTTTTACTTTCTTCCTTTTTTCCAATATTTTTATTCCATATTAACATCTTAGAATAGACTTATAAAGCGGACACAGCTAAAAAACAGAGCACAAATCCCTACCAGAGAAGTCCAAAGTCAACAAGAATCAGAGCGTTAGGGCTTGGAGTGCATCCCCCTTCCAGGATTTTAGTTAGCTAAGTTAAAGAGTTTAACTGGCTGGGTCCAAGGTCAGCTCCTTCACTGATAAGCACTGTTGTGAAGAAAGCTGGAAGCAAGGGCCTGACCCTTGCTGCGCTTGGGAAAAGCTGATGCTTTACTGCTGGCTGCTGCCTGTGCTCCATTGCAGCTGTGTAGTAGCTGGGTCTGCGCCCAGTCTGGGACCTCTGCGGTTCTGACCGTGCCCGCTTCCCTGACTCTTGCATTCCCAGCTCGACCTCGGACCTGCCTCATTACTACAGGCTTGCTGGCTGATCACTGGACAGTGTTTAACCCTGACTTGCCTCTCTACATACTGGCTCCTTACTAGTAAGGTTCCCTTGCAAAGCAGCTGGCCCTTACTGCTCTCTGACACAGGAAGAAGAAAAAAGTTGATGCTTCTCCCAGACCACTACAAGTAGTCCTAATACTAGAGTCTTAAAAAAAAGCATGTTAATTACCCTGTTTTGGAAAAACGCAATGGGGATATTGCTACACAACACAGATTGTGCATCACATCTTGTACTACTGTGAGATCATAATGATACATCGTATAGTTAAAGGTTTTCTGAAAACCTCACAAACTAACTTTGAGTTCATTGCACTGCAAAATCTGGAATTAAAAAGAAAAAATGTGATTTTTTTCCATAACAAAAACATGAACTACTGTGCAGAGTATCCTAAATTCTACAAAGCTCTCTTTCACAGCAAAAGCTGACCTACACAGAGAAAATAGGTTTTTTTAATTATTTATTTTCTCTGTATTCTCTGTTCTCAGGTTCTCTTTTTCTAACAGGCTCCAAGTAGAAACAAAATCAACGATTTTAAAATTCCAATATTTAAATGGACACTAAATGAGATAAAATTAGTTCAGTTATTTAAAGCCTAGCTAATCAAGTATTTCTTAGTTTATCTTACCTTTTCAATTGGCAACATTACTAATGGATAAAAAGAATATGGTATTGGAATAGTTAATTGTCATTAATAACTGGCTTCACTTTAACATCTATAACTAAGGCAACTCAGCAACATTATCCACCTACCCTTTGCTACTGAAAGATAAGTGAGAATTTGTTGCCTCACAGTTGGAAAATATTTGTATTAATTACTCACACAAATCTCCAAATTATTATGGCCAAATTTGCCCTTTTCCCTAGTAGTACAAGTACAGGATTTAAAAAAAGTAGGTCAGAGTGATAACTTGCCTTTTCGAGGTCTGGCTCCTCTAATGCCAGTGCGAGCTCATTGTTGTCCATTACAGAGGCTGCTGCAACATCTAACGGCGTTGAACCTCTCATTGAAGGAAATGCTGCAGAAGAATGTTAATATACCGTGATTTGATTTAGTTTGCAGTAATCAAGGTCGTGCAGCAGAGGGCAGCAGTCACACTGGAATCTAGATCCTACTCTCATGTTAATAGCATGTTTTATAGCTTTTTTTCAGTCAGGAACATGCTTAACTGTTTTGAATAGTAATGAAATTAATGGGCAGATTCTTTCCTGACTTTCTACCATAGCTATAAACAAATATGCTGTTTTTAAATGCAGATAAATAAATCAATATCAATAACATAGCAAATTAAAAAAATACTGCACGACTGTCTTTAGCAGAGCAATATTTTAACTATGCGATCCTAAGAAGTCATACAATCCTCCTAAAACATCAAACCAAGATTTTAGAATATGCCTATATTCAGCAAAAATAACCTGTTTCAAGTCCCCTCTTTTTCTTTTTCTCATTCTTAGCCCATTTTCCATGTTTAATATAGGTATATGTGACCATTGGAATAGTTACCATGAACAGCTAAAGCATGTGAAATCACATGCTGACTTGCCTTGCTGTACATTATCGATTTAGCTGTCTCCCTGTCCAAGATAATTTTTCTTGAGCTACACAATGCAAGGCACACACATTGAAAAATCAAAGTTATGAGGTTCTGAAGGAGGGGTATGAAATCACATCAGAGGGCTTAACTTTGGGGAAAACAGAGCAAAACTAAAAAAACCTCAATATGCAATGCATAGTCTTACTCTCATGTTTGGCTCTCAGATGAAACAGGCCAGCACCATAAAGAGTTAATTTAGATTTCCAAACACAATTATATTGAATGGGAAAAATGTCAAACAGTATGGATTTGATTCTAAATCTGTCAAGGTTTTTAAACATATAGATTGAGAGTACCTTTTGTCTATTATAATTCACAGAAATACAGTAATGGGAGGCAAATGGAAAAATCGTGAATTAAAGGTGAATCCGCAAAGCAGTTTAAGCTTCAGAAAGGTCTTCCCAAATGACACGCTTCAACTTGCTATACAAATTAGACAACCGACCTGTAACATCCCAGTTCTTCCTGGACTTGGTTTTAGCTGTTACAAGTACATAACATACCCAGCCCAACGCTGCTGTTCTCCAGTAAGTAACTAAGATGCTCAAACATAGCTTTTTGGTTTTGACGGCTAATTCGACAGAAGTAGCACAGGAATCGACAACAGCTTGCCACCATCTTAGGAAAAGCGATCTGCTGAAGAAAGTTGACAAAGCAGCAAAATATGTTAATTACCAATCTGTTCAGATTCTTCTTCCTGCTGGCCTAACAGGGAAGGTATAATGAAGTTACCAAGGCAATAAGCAGCTGACATAGTTGCTTTGCCCCTACTTTAAGAAAGGGCTTGCACTTCCTTTCATCTTTTTTCCCTCTTAAGGTCATTAGGCCATTAGGTTTAAAAAGTTGAAAAATTCTTGTGGAGAGCGCTACAAGGAACTTATATGGGAGAAAAATATCTGCATTGAGAAGTAACTCTCAATTTAGGAGATCTGCAGACTAGGAAATGTGGTTATACAAAAACGTTATATTAGCAATGTTATGGTAACAAGCTCAGTCACCAAAATATTAGGTCATAGCAGAATCAAGGATATCCAAGAACCTTAGCTGATCTTCCCATATATGTTACAATAACAATCTATGGCCTTCAGATAAAGGGTTTTTACAGGACTTCTACATCAGGCAATGCATAGGCCTGCTAATGCATGTTAATATTTTGTTTTATCTTAACTGCTCAAAGCTTTTTTTTTTTAAACCTTACTTGCTGCACATTATGTGCAAAGAATTTCTCCTCTGAAAACGAAATGTTTTCATCTGTAGCATTCCTGAAAGAATATTTCACAAGCTGCATTTACTAATAACATCTTCTGAGATGACAAAGTTATGTTGTTCTCACATTTCACTGAAAGGAGCTTGTGAGAACAAGATCAAAAATCATGGGACAGATTTTTGATGCTTCTTTTAAGGTTTCTCCAACCTGACTTGTTAAATTTACCTTTCTATAGGACTTTATACATTCGAGTGCCCAGTTCAGTTGCAGATCTGCATCTTAAGGATACTCACAAAATTGAGGAGAAAATTAATGACCACCAAGGAAAATTCTTCCTGAACTAAGCTGACTAGGACCCTTTAGGCATAAGTAGGAATAAATTCTAAATATCCAAGGTGTTATCTGAGTGTTTTAACCATAAGATTTTGTGCGGTTTTGTTTTTTCCTATGCCATCCAGCCTCCTTTGCACCAGACCTTTTAATTTGCATAATAAGCGTTGCCTTCTTTACACCACCAGTCTAATTCATTCTGAGAGGAAGTGCAGCCTTTTCACTTCACGAGAAAATAGTCTTGTGGAAAAAAATATAGATGATTACATACTTAAAATGTACATGATGTGCAATATCCGTTAAAGACTTCAGGTACATTTCCTAATTTGTGAGGACTTGGTTTAACTCTAGTTTTCCTTTAGTACAGGTTTTCTGTGTAACATATGTGGCTCATTTATCAACAAGCCATTACATACAAGTAGCATTATACATGATTTCTGCTCTTAAAAGTAAGATAGATGAAAATGAATGAAAAACAGCTTCTGCACCAAGGGTATTAACTAAGCAAGATGTATTACCTGATTTTTAAGAAAATCATAATAACTGCCAAATTGTCAAAATATCTTAATTTTACAAATTCCTCATTATTGAAAGAAATCTATTCAAAAATACCACTTGAAAATTTTCAACCACTAAAAAATTATTTTCACAGAACCACAGAATGGTTGAGGTTGGAAGGGTCCTCTGGAGATCATCTAGTCCAACCCTACTGCTCAAGCAGTCACCTACAACATGCTGCCCCAGGTCCCTGTCCAGATGGCTTTTGAATATATCCAGGGACAGAGACTACACAATCTCTCTGGGCAACATCTTCCAGTGGTCTGCCACCCTCACAGTAAAAAAAAGTTTTTTCTTAGATTCAGACATAACTTCCTGAGTTACAGTTTGTGCCCATTGCCTCTTGTTCTGCTGCTGGGCACCACTGAAAAAAAAAACCAGGTTCCTTCTTTACATCCTTCCTTCAGGTATTTATACACATTGATAAGTTCCCCCTCCCCCCCCCCAAACCCTCTCTCCTCCAGTCTAAACTGCCTCAGCTTTCTCAGCCTTTCCTCGTATGAGAGATGCTTCTGTCCCTTAAACATCTTTGTCGCCCTTCGCTGGACTTGCTCCAGTAGCTCCGTATCTCTTCTACTGTGCACCCCAGAACCGGACACAGCACTCCAGATGTGACCTCACCAGGGCTGAGTAGCGGGAAGGATACTTTCCTCCACCTGTTAGCAACACTCTCCCCAGTACAACCCAGGATACCTTTGACCTTCTTTGCTACAAGGGCACAGGACCCTCAGGTGCTTCTCTGCAAGGCTGCTTTCCAGCAGGTTGGCCCCCAGCATGTACTGGTGCATGGGGTTACTCCTCCCTAGGTGCAGGACTTTGCAGTTCTTTGTTGAGCTTTATGAGGTTCCTGTGCCGTTTTAAAGCAAAATTATTCAATTTTAAGAGCCAAACAGGGAGCTGCTCAGGATTCTTTGCAAATGAACCAACAGCAGAAACCAGCAATATTACATTAAGATTCCAAGATCATAATAAGAGCTAGGCATAGTCTTTACAAAAACAATTAGATATCCATTCAAATCCAGCTGTGATGGAGATGCCAGAAACTTGCCTGAATATTTTCTGGGGTAGCTATTTCACTAATGAACTTTCTGTGGTTTTGTAAGCAGGTATTAGAGAAATACTGCTAAGGTGGGGAGATGCATCCTACACCATATTCTGCAGATCTCCTCATCTGTTGCTGACTCATTTATTAGTACCACAGTCAGAAAGAAGCCTCATATGAATTTTTTTTTCTCTTTAATCAGACAATTTTTACCATTTCACTGTTCCTTCACAGAGCAATGTGGACAGTAACACTCTCAATAGATGTCTCAGTACAGCCTCATGATAAGATAACTTATACAGCAAGCTGGAGATCAAGCTTAAATTGCCACAACCTAAGAAAATGTCCAACCCCTATACTAGAAGCCAAGTTGCATGGAAGCATTCCTCATTCCTTCTTTTGAAGTTATACCACAGAAAGAAATGTCCACAGCCTGCAAAAAGCAAACAGAAGGGAAGATGCTAAAAAGCCAGTTGTGAGCCAACTTGGCTGAGAGCTGGAAAAGTAGTGTTCTGGTTCCTGATACCAGCACAGTTCTTGAACTTCGAGTGAGTGAGTGATTGGACAAAAATGCAGAGAATTTCAGATGAGAATATAAATCCCATAGCTGACCAAGATATGCTGTTTCTGATCCTGTTCCATTTTATTCAGAAGAATACCTTAACTGGGAGAGTGAAAGATCCCCAGCATGCATAAGCATGTACCTTTTGTACATTATAGCCTGGTAGCTAGATCATGGGTCAATCACCTTTCAAGTGGGACACCTCTATCAGATTTGAAGTTAAGCATGTCAGCAGAAGACCAGCAGACAGCAGATGAAACAAAGAATGATTTTTAAAGCAGCATTTTCTCTCCTTGCAAGGTTGTAGTTCTTATGAGGGAAGCTTCGGGTTTGGAACTCCGGAGCAACACCTGTCTGTCTTTACAGTCCCCTATCCAGCAGTGTGTTATTTAAAATCTGCAGGATGCCAAACCTGAAGTCTGTGCTAATGGTGTGCAAAACCTTGTTAATAAACCTGTCTGTGCTGTTTCATAAAATGACTGTAGTTCTCTGTCTCCTTAAGAAGCTTATGGGTTATGGATCCTGAGTATTTGTGAGCTTCCACACTCAGAGGCATCTGCATTGCATGCATGTTTCTGAAATCTCTGATAACACATCAGAGATGCATCCGGACTGTGGAATAGATCAAATTCCAAACACAACCTATTTCTTATCAGTACTTCTTGATAAGACCTCTACTCCTATGCTAATTCCAGATCAGCGGGCGACGTTTTGGATTCCCTCTGCAGTAGTTAACTCTCCCCCTGCATTCTATGGAGGTAGAGACACAAAAGAGGATTTAAGCGACATTCTAGGGTAGCCAGACATATCAAAGTTAACAGCTGTAATAACAGACTCATTTACTAAGACATTTTCTAGGTCTGCATTCCTTCTGAAGGATATCACGGTAACTTCTGTGACGTATTTTTGTAGATACACGTTACTAAAAATCTCTGGGAAAGCATTATTAACCAGAATTAGAAGATACTGTGTTTTCTCATTTCTTTTTTTTTAAATCACCTATGACCACACACGCAGGTTGTAACCAAAACAGAGGCTTGTGAAAACTATAAATTATAAATATATTAATCACAATATAATTAACAGTACCTTGCCTTGAACCAAACTGTTAAGCATACTAAGGTAGCATTAACTAACAGCAGTATATGAACATTTTGTAAGGCTGTAATGACATAGCCAGACACAACGCGTAAGAATTTTACAGAAGTACATGAGCAGCGTGACCAAAGACGCAAAGAAAGGGCAGTACAGAAGGCATTCAAGTAACAAAAAGTTGCTAGAGAGAGGACAAGATAAGCACAAGCGCAACAGACAGAACAACCTCCCAAATACACAAGAAGGATGAATGGCAAGACTAAAGAAAACAAGGTAAGCAGCACCAGGAGCAGAGGAAATCCCTCTTTTTTGGGAGGAAAGCAATAGGATAAAAATATCAGGAATAAGTAAGGAAAATTAGAGAAGAAAGAAGACAAGTGACAAGTTCCACTTCATTTCTGATTTCCCTCAGTTAGCCTATGTCCAGGTGTGCTGCTCAAAATATTTACACTGCTCTGCCTTTAAACTAACACACAGACATTCAAACATTATGGAAAGAAATGGAAAAGAAAACAAAAAAAAAATTGCAAAAAAATTATAGATCAATTCAAATATTTGAATTAGAGCTTTCAAAATTAAGTTAGTATTAGTTAACTAATTTTACAGTTAATTGTTAGTAATACTGCATTTAAGATGAATAGGTATATTCTCCTAACAGAGTTACACCTCCTATGAAGGCAGCCTAACCTATATGCTTAGTTTAAAATAGAACAAAATCTTGTAAAGTACCATTAAAAGACAAAGGCAATTCCTATAACCCCTCACCTCCCCCCTTCTTTGTCAAATCAAGTCCGACTTTGACCACATGTCCTATAATGCTGGTCATCTCCTACTACTGCTGTAATAATAATGTTCAATTTTTAATATTAATTCCTACTTCATAGATCCCATTTGGAGAAGCAACAGCTCTCTATTAAAAAGGGGATCTATTTTTTTCTGAACGCTTACTCAAACATCCTAGCACACACTGGCAAAAAAATAAAATTATGGTGAGATTACCTGAGATTTATCTCCTCCAAGCACATTTACCATCACATCCATAACTGTCTCATGCATGCCCAAGACTCTCATTAAGTTAGGATGCTGATAAAACACCTTGTTGTTCATTATATCCCTAAATGGAAGAAAAGGCAACAATGTATTTTAAAGACAGACCATTTTCATTTAAATCAACGATACATTATCAGACATTTCAGACATACGCATGCAACGTAGAGGTAACATTTTAAATTCTGGGATTTCAGCATAATACAGAAATGCCTGACACCTAAATGCTTCACATTTGAATATGCTGTCATTCCTCTGACTTTCCTGAATTCCATACAATAAGCATCCAAAATTTTCAATTATTTTAAAATGGCATTTCTTTTGGTCATCTTTGAATTGTTCTTCCTATCTGTTCTCTTTGAAGAAAGAATATATTCTGTTATGCTCTAAGTGGAAAATAATACTTTCCAGTATGTTGTAACTAGAGAACGGGATGTAGAAGTAGAGGGGATGTAGAAGTAGAGGGGATGAAGAATCTAATCTAATCTCTGCAGAAACATCCTTTAGCTCCCCATTTTCTCAACTTGTAAGGGAGAAGATAATGAATAATTATATTTAGTTTTCAAGGTTATCCCTTTAAGGTATTTCATTAGTATTTCCAAAATTAAGATCTTCTAGCAGAATATTCACATATAGTCCATTTAAATAGGAATATTTTAACATTTTCACTCTAGCTCACCTCCTCTCATAGGTTCTAGAAATCCCTGTACTGTTTTCATAATCCAGAACACAATTTACCTGGTTCTATAGGATACCCAAGGCAATCAAGAGATTTCTAACATTGTCGGTCAACCAGATAATAATGACCAGCAAAGAACAAAGATCATGCCTGTTTTAAAGAAATGTAGAAAACCAGAAATAGAAACTCATCCAGAATCTGTTACCTCTAGGAAGGGAGCTACAGGCAGGCCCAGCTTAGACAGAACTTGCTCTTTATCGCCACAGAATTCTCAGCAACTTTACTAGCTCTGCATCAGGGACAAATTGACTAATACTGTCACATACTAGTTAACTAGTTGTTACTATAAATTGCTCAGTTTAATCACATAGACTAGTCATTCATAAAGCAATGCAATTTTTACATTAAAGCACAAGGAAGAATGAAGCTCCTTACAATTGCTATAAAGGAGAGAAATTACTCAACGTTCTTGATGAAGGACAAACAAATATGGTTCTCTGGTAACCTTACAACTATCATTTTATCTTCTCTCTTTTCAGAAATACAATTTTAATAGAAGTAATTCATTTGCTGTGAAATTTTTTTTTATTTTTTTTTACCTCTAACAGTAAATGGCCTGATCCTGCAATTATTCACATAAGAGGAGCAATAGATATATAGGCCTGCACCAAAATACAGCTGCTTAACAAAAGTAATTTCATAGCAGAGACAAAGAAGAAAAATATTCTCATACCAACAGGGATTACATAAGGACAATCTCTTAAAATCCTAATGCTATGAAGGATATAAGCAGCAGTATTCTGTGTTCAAATACTTAAGTTACCACTTATACGACATACTAAATATTGTCTAGTTTGAATTATTTCTGATCACATTACAATTTCAGTGACTCTACCTAACTCCTTGTACAACCTCACTATTCCAAAGATACGAGCAAGTCTATTCACTTACACATGAAAAAACAAAGTGAGCTTTAAGTTTGTGAAAGGTGTAATATTGACACCAATACAGACTTAAGTCATCCATTTTCTACAAAGCTGCTAAAACATGCATATTTGATGAAGCTTCAGCAAACAACTCAAAAACTTTCATTAGGCTTAACTACAGCGAAAAGGAGCTCAGTTCCTTTAGCTCAGAAGGTTCCGAGTTCACAGAAACTTTTACTGACACATTTGATATTGGTGGAGGGAAAGACTGGAGCCCTCTTGGAAATTTCTATGGAAAAGGTATGCATCTCTGAGAAATTGGAATGAAATTACTAGACGATGAATGCATTTTGGTACAGTAATTTTCATTAATGCTCTAAAATGAAAGGTTTTACTAACGTAACACAAAACTTTACTCAAACTTAAAAAAAAGGTTAATCCCATACCCTAATCCGTTAATCATTAGCAATTCCTCCTCTTTTCCCATTCTAACACTGAGAAGTGAACGAATCTGTCCCAGTGCTGCAAGCAGATTGATGGTATCCTCCACAGAGACAGCACTAATAGTGTATGCCTTCCTCAGAGCTTGCAGTAGTTCACCAATGCTGTCATATTGCCTACGAAGAAGGGTGTACATAATCCGGACTAATTCTGGATCTTGAATCTGATCTTCCTGGGACCAGCGCACCATAGTCTGGGATATGAGTTCCTTCAGCGTAGCTAAAACAATAAAACATGTGAAATGTTACTAGCTATGACAACCACAAATAAACTGTCAAAAACATTCATTAGTGTAAACTACCAGATAGCAGCAGACAATGAGGCAGTTGTAAGAGAGCAAAAGAGCATGAGCAGACTGAACAGAATTCCTCAACTGGAAAGATAATTTTGGGATCTCTCAAGAGAAGTGAGATGCTCCTGAGAGACAGAAGAGAAGAATCTCCTACTTAGTATTCGAATCAATATAACATTTTCAGCAATGAAAAATTCTTAGCATATTATGACCCTAGAGTTTCATCCTTGTAAGTGAAATGCTAAATTTAAACTTTTAGCTTCTATATTGGGATTTATAAAATAGTACTAACTGCAGACCTTCTTCTAATATAAACCCTGTTGTATTAGGAATTACTGAAATCTAATTTTATAATGCCACTGAAACATCATCCCCTGGCAGTGACTTCTGGCCAATATGAACCTAAGTTTGAAATACAGAAGTTCATAATTAAGTATTCAGTAAATAGTTTATTGGCTAGAAAATGTGATTTCAATTATAACGACACTATGAACATGGCTTCAACTTGCCAAATAGTTTTGCTAGAAGGAAAAAAAATTCTTCTCTAGCCTTACAAAACTGCCAGAAAGGAGAATGAAAGAGCCTCCCTTTTTATCCAATATCCAGTTAAGGGCCAAACCAGGATGGGAGAGAATGCACTTCACTTCAGCTGCTCATTCATTCAAATGGATATTTAGGTATTTTTTTGTTCAAACAAAGGATCTACCGTTTCTTCAAAAAAAGATGATCTACCTAGAATCTCAGGTACCTCAGAATTACACGATGATACACATGCTCTAAGGAACAGTAAATGTAAATTGATTTAGACAAGGGAATTTAATCTATATTTTCTATCACTTGGGAACATATTTTCTAAAAAAATTGTATTGTTTGGAACTACACAATGCATACCGCTTGGAGGTGTTCTATATCATATACATTAAAGGTTCACTGATCCTGAAAAGACTCTTTGTAACTTCCTTCAACCAAGACAGTTTCCTCCTCCTTCCCTAGAATAATTAATAATTTTCACTAACTTTCCAAGTCATTGAACATGTTACTGATTTCTGGTTATAGAAATCTAACACACTTCCTTTGTCAATAAGTCAATTATCTTATTAAAGAAAGGTATCAACTTACTTTGAATTTCTGACTTTTAGGGGGAGGTTTTGGGGTAAACGGGATAAACAGCAACCTGAGGCAATAAATTCAGGGAGGAAGTTAAGGTTTCCTTCTGAGAAGGAAGAGATGTGGACAAAAAACTTGTTAAATGCAGAGAAAATTATGTTAGGTCTTCCAATGTCCCAGTTGCACGGCTAATGGACAAACTGGGCGCTAATTTTTGTCTTCCTCTTTTATGAATCTAGTCCCTCATTTCCTTAGTACCACCCAAGATATATAAATTTGTTGCTGCATTCAACTCAAATGAATATTTTCCATTTCAGCAACAACAATAAAATATTATTTGCAGTGAGCCAATTATAAGCCCGATTTTACACACATAAGTTAACTATCAGATATTTAAACATGTAACTAAAATACTAATAATAATTTAGCAAAAATGTAATAACACAGGAGAAACCAAACGTTCTGTTTTCTGTATTTGGCATCTGCTAATAGGTAACTGAGCCTGATTCTGATCATCAAAATTATGGAATGAGATTGGTTTAAGGAGTTAGACTTGATTTATCCACAGTAGCGAAAAAAAACACAGGCTCTTTCTGTTATAATACCAGAAATCTGATATATTCTAAAATGGAGAAGACACTGAAGAATCAGAAAAAAACTTAATTCTAAAGGAAAACTACAGGTTCATAATGTTCTTTAAGTCATACTTAGTCATCCCACTTAAAAGTAAAACTTGGATATATGCCATGGAATTCAAAATTTGATGAAGTTGCAAAAGTAGTAAAGATTACTGCAGCAATGGCACTGAGCATTTCTACCATAACCAATGGTGCTAATGCAAATGGAAGGTATCTCCTTTTCATTCCCACAGATATCTCTACAAGACTTGCATCTTCTACAGAAAACTCTGTTGAGTAGGCACTGTAGAGAAAGGCATAACACCCAATTTACATCGGTTTAACATAATATACAAAAGAATAAGCTATAAATATATTCCACTGAGTTGTATTAAAGAACTATAGTACTGTAGAAGAAGATTAATGAACCTTTATCTTCTGTTAATATGGTTTACTACTAAAATGTTACTTTATTTTGATATTAAAATAAATATATTATTATAATCAGATATAGGTGACTGTTTTTATTACCACAACCACAGTCACTTCATAACCTTAAAATGATTGTGAATTATATGCAAGATGCTGCTTCTTTTTTTAAGCGCAATGAAAGTCAAATTGTTTCCTTCCTTTTGTTTAAGCTTTATTATCTTGCAAGTTCTATGTACTTCCTTGAATAGGTTGAGGGAAACATGGCTAAAATAATGTGGGAGAAAATCAAAAGTCTACAACAAGGCACTTCAAGACCTGCTTTGTTTTTGTATCTCTGGTTTTAAATTGAATATGTTAGAACATCAGAATTACTGGCTCGTGCGCTTCAGCTCCTAGTAGAATACTACCGTTAACATGTTCTTAACCGCTTTCCTTGCTTCAGATCCCAGAGAACGATTGACAATGAAGCACACAGCAATATGGAAATCTTAATGAGGAAACATTAAGCAAGGCCCTAAGAACTCAAAAAGTAAAATAAAATTTATTCCAAATCTTCACACATTTCAAAATCAGAGAAGAGAACAACTGTTAACCAAGCACAAAGTTACAATATCAAGCCAACATAAAATTAGTACATAAAACATACAATGTAAAATTATTAGGATCTAGAAGATTACTTGGAGCAATCTAGATAAGGGGCACATTAACATAGATAAGTAGCTAAAAATAGTTGTTTATATTTTTCCAATCTTTAAGGTTTGACAGAAGTTCCCAATGCTGTAATTATCTTCTTGCCATGACAAGTCATATCTTGACAGCTATAAAACTCCTAGGATCATGATTGTCAATGATTTATTGCCTCAATGGCTTTATCCTCCGAGTTCTAGTTTGTTTTTAAAAATACATTTTATTAATTCATCCTTAACCCTAGTTTTAATTCCTGGCATTCCTTTCCTAAAATAAAAGTACGTTTGTAAGTAGATATAAATGCATGCTTAGAGGAAAGGAAGAATTCTTTGCAGAAAACAGTTCCTTCCAGATGCCTTGGCTACAAATATTCACAACATAATGTCAGACCAGATGTTCGAAACTGGAGACTTTTAGCCTTATCAATGTATATGCATGTATATACCGTGCTACCCCCCACACCCCAGCCCTTTGTGCATATAAAAGGACGGGGATATCTCAGGCCACCAGTTTCTTTCGCCCCCTGAATCCCGAACGCCCAGGGCCAGCAGGTAAGCATTCTAAAGCAGAAGAAAGAGTGCATACATGGACTAAATATCTCAAAGACTCTCTAGCTACTGTCAAGTAATTTTCCATAGCCCTTTGATTTTGTCCATATGCACATTTACACTAAGCATAACCCTAAGGAGGAGCTCCAGCCTGAAGGGATTATCTGGAAGTGAAACTCAGCATTTCTAGAAAAACAGATACTGTAGAATCACTCAACCAAAGCAGTTCCTCTGCTGGAATCATCAGCAATAACACTACCCTAACCAAAGCCTGGAAATAGCTCCCTATCCTATTGTGTGGAATTGATATGCTCTCTAGTAGCATAACCTGGGATCCTGGAAAGTATACCACAACTCCAACTAGTGTCTCTGTCTTAGGTAGTTTGAAGCAGATCTTCATGCTGTCTCTTACAGTTGGCTTATAAGGGTTGGAATCATCCCCTCCCCACCAACAAAGATAATAACTTCCAATAAAAGCTATTTTCATCTGAAAATGAAGGAAAAAAAAACCTATTAATAATAGACCTAAATGGCTGGCAAATGATGAAGGTTTGCATTGAGTTCAGATTCTATGCCTACAGGATCTATAACTCTTTGATCTAAATGCTCTCAATCCCCTCAGAAGTCTGAGGGGATATGAGACTATCAAATGTTCTTAACACAGGCAAAGATTGAGATCAAAGAAGATAGTCTTTGGAGAATCAAAGCTTTTTTTTTTTTTTTTAAGAAAAGATTATGTAAACGTTATTTTGAATCTCATGCAGATCTCATTTGGAGTGCCTTACGTCATCCACAAAAACGGTGACAGCTCCTGTAAGAAATGCAGCTGCTAAGCAAGTATTATTATACGCACTAGCCTTGATAACAGCATTCAAAAAGAAGTAAGAGAATCTAACACTGTCTTGTTTATGTAGTGTATTAAAAAGTGTTATCCTTCTGCACTTCAATCTGATGATTCCTGATGAGTTAGAGGAAAGTCCAGCTTGCGTTTCTTGTGACCCAAAGCTCCTGTGTAAAATACACAAACTTTTCTATTCTGAAGACCAAATATCATTTGCCCTTAGGCTTTAGAAGTGAAAGCTTTCTGATTCATGAGAACAGAATTCACAGAAACTCTGAAGAAGAAATGACATTTCCCAGATACTGAGTAGGTCCTACTACCACTAAAGAGAAAACGTAGCTGGTGTATGACTCACTGGGGAATAAAAACTCTATTTTCCACGCGGCACATGAGATTATTATATGCGTCAATGTATTTACATCCTAGTACATGGCTTAAAAGACCATGTTGTTTTCATGGCAGGATACACCTTTTCTGGTGTTTTACAGAACAGATAGATCACATCAGTGTTCCAGGTTATGAAACAGCTTTGCTGTCTTATCTTGCACAACTCTTGATGGAATAAGTCTGAAATGAAATTAATGGTTCCTGGTCTGCCAAAAGGCCTGTTGCCAAACTGAGCAAACTGGAAATGGAAGAGAAGCACTCCCTACTGGAAGACCATCCTGAAGCCATTTGCACCCTGCGTGACATTT